CTGGACAGTCTAGTACAACTTAAAAGGAATATCCACATGTAAATCTTTATTCTGGAGTGATGTTCTCAAAATTGAATGGAAATTAGAAAATAGAACCAGGCAGGTTTTCTTTCCTTTTCTTTCTTTCTTTTGTTTTGGGGGGTGGGTGGGGGTGTTCAAGACAGGGTTTTTCTCTGTGGCTTTGGAGCCTGTTCTGGCACTGACACTGTAGACCAGGCTGACCTTGAACTCACATCGATCTGCCTGCCTCTGCTTCCTGAGTGCTGGGATTAAAGGAATGTACCACCAGAAAGTTTTCTTAAACACCAATATTTGTTCTGAAGTGCAGAGATTTATTTGTGTGTCTGGAATCATAGGCGTTAAGTTTTCATTTGTTTTTTAAGCTTCATGGCTCTCTAAGATGTGAAAGTCTTCAGTCCTCAGAACTACCAGTGTGGGAAATGCTAATTTGCATCTCTGGGTCTCTAACTGGGAGGAAGCCCTCTTTAGGGTTTGTTAGCATTTGGAGGGTTGTAATGAAGTGCTACCCTTCAGAGTTCTCAGCCATAAGCCTTTACCCTCAACTTTCTTTACTACTAGGGTGTTAGCTGTCAATTACCATGAAAAATGGTGAAATTTATTTCACACTAAAAGTAGAATTCAAGCTATGTGGTTGAGCTGGAAATGAATCTAAGAATCTCACTGGAGTTCAGCTAAATATTTATTTAGCCCAGTGGCTTGTGTAGCATTTGTCTATACCTTTGAAGTCTCAGGCTCTCAGGCAAATCTTGGAAGTTAGCTGAAGTCAATTGCTAGGATGGAATTATCTTCCTTTGCCTCAAGTAACTTTTCAAGAGGGACATTGTCCCTTGACTAGACTTCCTTGACTCTAGTGTCTGTGTAGCTGTGCCCATTGCCTGAGATGAATTAATGTGAACAGAATTGACAGAAAGGTGCTCTATTCACTCTGACACATTGCCTACTGTCAGGTTGAGAGACCAGGAGCCAGACAGACTCCATGGAGGGTAGACAGATAGGTAGAGGGTCCATGGTTAGGTAAGAAACAGAGAGAATTTCCAAGGTGGCCAGCATCTTTCTCAACCTCCTGACTTGAGACAAAAGTCTGACAACTTTTGTCTCAGGCCAACAGGCTCCCTGCTGATGGATTGGCTTAACAAGTTCAAGGCTGGATCAGGATAAGTTACACAACAGTGGTAGACCAAACATTCTACCTGTCTTCAAGATGATGAACTCTAAATTAGTTGTTTGCTCACCTCCAATAAATGCCTTTACTGATAATTTTGTCTGTGATAAGAATTCTCGAACACTGCCTTTGTGCTTCAAGATTTCTTGACTTTTAATTCTTTAACTGGCAGAGAAAAGACGAACCCAGTCAAGAACCCTAGACTGTATCATCATTTCTAGACTGTATCATTTTGGGGGCTTGTCTGGGATTTCTTTTGTAGACTGTATCAAGGTCTCTGGGATTAGACCTCCAGCCTTTACCTATCTAGTGTCAGGAGGCCTCTAGTATTCTGAACAGGAACTCTCTGTCCACTCAAGATAGTCATATTCAGAGCCCAGAGTAGAAGCATTTCAGTTTTCATGTTCGTTTCTTGACAGTGAATGCCAGAACACTGCTCAAATGTTCCTAGCATACTTTTATGTTGTTCATATATAGACGGCTCCATTCATGATTGGCAGGTGAGGGGAAACAACCTTAAGGCTAGTTTGCTTGCTTTCCTGACTTCCCTTTGGCATTTTCCAATGAGTCATCCTTGGCTGTAAGGACACTTGGATTTCGGGCATTTGTCTGAGCCAAGGAAGGTGAGCAAGAGCTGGGACCAGGAGGCTATTCAGGGGTTGGCAAAGACACTCGTATAAGTGCAACAGTGGAACAAGATGTCTTCCAAGTCAGAATCTGGCCACAGTCCTTGGGGCTCTTCTTTTAGTGTTGAGTTAGGTTTTATAAGGTCAAGGAATGCTAATAACAATAAAATTTGATGTGCTTTATAAAATGCCTTCAGTTATAGCAAATAAATGCAACCATTGTGAAAAATGCCCTGCTCATAAATAAGAGAGAAGTCAAATAAGACATGCATTTCAAGTGCAAAAATCATCCAGCTCCTTAAAATAATGAGGTAGATTTGTTTGTGCTTGGTAGAGAATGATCTCTAAGGCCTATTAGTAAGTGGAAAAGTGGTACGTCAAATCAACACCCAGTAAGAGCTCAAGAGAGCAATATTTCCCATGTTATTGATCTTTAAAAAATGATGTACATGCTACCCATGTAATTAAAAATAGAGCCAGATGTGTGAAATTGCAATATTTCATATTCATACAGAAAAACAAAATTATCCTTTTAGTTGAACTGTAGCACCTGAACCTAGGTGGGGTCTGTGTACACTTTCAGATGCTGGGTACCAGTAGTGAATACTTCTCTGCCTCACATATTCTCTTGCTCTACAGAGGATTATGACTCTCATCATCTGTCATTTCATCCATCAACACATAAATCCCAAGAAGACAGCAAAGCTTGCACAGTCCCACCAGCTGAGCTCTGGGGTCATTCTCTTGCTGGTGCTCATCAAAGATGCCTGCTATTGCATTGCTAAACGGCTGGAGATTCAACTAAGAGATTTGCTGCTTTAATCCATCTTGGCAAAGAAAGGTTATGCCCAGAGGCTGTGATAACCCAAACACAAACCTCTGAGTTTATCTGCCATGTGAACTTTCATAGGAAGGAAGAGTCTTAAAATCAAGCGATGGGAGCTTTCTCTTCCAGTTGCGAAGTTTTGCCCTCGATTTTGATGAATACAAATGATTTAAAATAAAATTTTTCCTTATCTGTTGTTGGGGCTCAAAAAAACCCACACTTAGGATTAAGTACAGCTCAGTGGTACAGCACCTGCATAGACATGCCTGAGGCTATGCCTTCATGCCCATCACATGAAAACCCCCAAACCAAACCAGAATAAACAGACAAAAGAGGACTCTTTCATCTTAATAATGACAAACCTAACCCACTGGGAAAAAGTCTGCCCGAGAGTGGTTTTGCCAGCCAGGAATACTTCCTAGTTCGTTGCCTTTGTGATATGTAGCTCATGCCATCGCCCCTTTAAGCCCGACCTCTACAAAGTGTTCATTGGGATTTCCCGGAGCTTCACATTCAGGATTAGCCTGAGTCTAGAGGGAAACCACCTGAGTGGAGAGAGGAATAGTTTGGGTAAGCCTTCCTCCCTATTTTGCGTTCTTCGAAGTCATGTCCTCACAGAAAGCCTTCAGTCAGGTTTGTTTGGGCTCTGAGTAAATCTGAGTAGGAACTGAGTCAGGAAACTTGACCTGGTCTCAAGATTTTTTTGCTTCTCATGGGTGGAACTATGAGAGCCTCACCATCTAGCTGTCCATTAAACACTAGCAAGTTGCCTAGTGTCTCTGTGCTCCAGTGTTTTCTCTGTAAAACCAGATCCTTGGCTTTGCTTCAGCTTGGAAGGTACAAAGAGCTCTGGGATTCAAGACAGCTCAACAGCCCAGAAGCCTTCCTCAAAGGAAAGCTCTCATGCTCCCCTTAGTTCTGAGCCAGACCTGGAATATAAGGCTACAGGAACGAAAAAAGCAATATAGCTGCTTCTCACTTCAAGCTCCCAAAGAAGATGGTGTTAACTGTGAAAAAGAAGAGAGCTATGACTATCCTTTGACAGCCTCTCTCAGGACAGAACATTAGGAAAGGTGAACCCATGGAATACAAGGTATTAGTCAGCGTGTTGGTTTTCAGGACAATGTCTCATTCTGAAGGTTCTAGAAACATAATTTATTGAATGAACATTTTCAGCTGGGGGGTGAGAATAGCAACCATGTTTGCTGAATGGCGAATTTGAGGAGGGACAGACATAAAAGGTCAACATAGCAAACATAACACACTAATTAACACTTCCCTCCAAAACTAACACCCCCTTTCATTCTTCTTTCTTTTCATCAAAAAATGTATTGCAAGTGGCTTTGAAGATGGAATCTTTCCCTTGAATAATAAAATGACTTCAATATTTATGTTTTTCATAATTCAGCACCTCAGCAACGAAAAGCCAGAAACAACCATTTTTGCCTTTCTCAGGAGCAAGGCTTGTCCAAGGCTTTCTTGCTTCAGGGTGAGGGACGGAACACGATAGCCTGCTCTATCGTCAGCCCGCAAATCTCCAGCTTCAAATCTGCATTTTTCTCAGCCTCACCCAAGCTTTCCCCACAACATTTGAAAACTTTATATCAGTGACAGCGTCAAGGTCACGTTTCTGCTAATACCTGTCTCTGGACCACACTGAACCATTTTGAGGGAAACACTCTTGATTAGCCTTCAGTTTTACAACGCAGTAAGCATGCCATGTGCTAATTATGGCCGGTGACACCATGAAATAAAAGTGCATTACCGAATGCTTTCAATTTCTTATAATGATGGTAAGGTGACATGTCATGGGGCCATTTTAGCCCGAGACATCACTCCAGAGAATTCCAAACAGATATAGACAAGTGCCACCAAGACCCAGCTCCTTCTCCCCCCGGGGTATTTATCCACAGGAATAGGATGTCCTGAAGCAACACTGGAGTGCTGATAAGCCCACTTATCAGAAAGATACCGTATTTCTGTGAGTGTGATGCACACTGCTTGCATTTTCTTGATAGGCTAGTCATATGAAAGCTGGCAAAGAAGGAAAAGGAGCAGCGGTGTGGTGCAATATTAACAGACAGCTGTCCCTGGCTTCCCGATAAGTAGGATGACTCGCATTGCTGAGCTGTGCGCTCACTGCCAAAGGAATGGCCCTCTCACATTTCTTCCTGATTCGCACACACTGTGGCCAGCTTGTCATCTCCTCCCTCTTGAGCTTCCCAGACACTGAGTCTGGAATGAAAATTCACCTGCCTCTGAGTTGGCCATCGGTGGGGGCAGGGGTGATACTTGACTTCCCAGGTTGGAAGATTATCTCACCCAGCCCTAACTATATAACCAGCTGGTGTGGAGGGACTCGGCAGGGCCAACTCCAGGGGTTCATCCACGAGAGAGCAAAACATACAGACTCACTGCTGCCAACATGATGGTGCTGAGAGTAGAGGAGCTGGTATGTAAGACATCTTCTTACCTGTCAATGCCTGCTTCATCTTGGCTTTTATTTGAAAGTTCAGATGCCCTTTCTTTTTCAGGCATAATGTAAGGGAAGTCTGCAAATGTCAAGTATGGGATGTGGTTTGTTTATGTGATGAAACAAGTGGAAACAGCTGACAGCAATGCATTTTCTGCATATTTCTTGTTTGTTGTCTTCTCCTCGGGTTTCATTGCTGTGATATGCAATAATGTAGTTATCATGACTTGGGGTACAAATTTTACTGCAAAAATAATTGTCTGAGCACTTTACGCCTCAAGGCTGAAATGAAAAGTAAGTGAATTTAGTTGGTGAATTTCCTAAGAGAAAGTGGGCTGTGTGGCTAAAAGTAAATTTATGTGTGTCAACCTGATACACATGTTGTCTTACTCTTGAGAGAGCAAGACAGCACCCGAAGGTCATCCTGGGAGATCTGTAGTTATGCCTCTGACAGTGCACTGCCTGAATGTGATGGTCATCAGGGAGGAAGACTGTGGGCATCCTGCAGCATCTTTTGTGGAGAGTGAGCCTAGGATGAGCAGCACTGGTTCTGATGTCACCATCCTCCTCACATGTAGGTAACAGGGAAGAAGAATAGCAGTGGGGCCGCAGGGGAATTCCTTTCTGGGGATTTCAGAGATGGAGAATATGAAGCTGCCATTGCTTTGGAGAAACAAGAGGATTTGAAGACTCTTCCAGTCCACCATGTGAACCCAGAGGAGCAACAATGGAAAAGTGAGAAACAGCGAGAGGCAGAGGTAAAGGCCTTCCATAGAGTAGTCTGCTAGTGGGAGGCTGGGGTGTGGAGATCTCTTGAATAAGACAGGAAAGAGAGGGAAAATAAACAAACCATTCTAAAGTTGTCTCTTCACCAAATTTGAACCCACAAAGATGTGAAGAGTCAGTACACATGGAAATGATTTGGGAAATGATTCTGAGATGAGACCATGACCTCTGGATTCTAAACCAATGATATTATCTGCTGTGGTCATGTTTTGATCAAAAGACAGAAAGATAATCATAACTAGGGAAACCCCAATAGGACACAATGTTTACTTAATGTCGAGGTGAGATTTCCTCTTTTTGATAACATTAGTTATCATGGTTCATAGTCAGAACAAGTTTGCTATATTTATTGACATTTACTTTTGTTGAAGTTTTATTGACGTTTATAGCTTACTAACATAATAACAAGTGCACTAGTTGGCAGTGGCCTCTGTTTCTGAGTAGTGGGGGCCACTTAAGAGAGAATGCATTGATATTTGAGAATTTAATATGTATTTTCTTTCCTGGGTAAACATACTTTAGTTTTTGAGAGTGAGAAAACAAATTCTATAGAAATCTGGAGCTTATGGTACTAATTACAAAATGATCACTGAGAGACTCCATTGTGCCTCCATCTAATTAGTCAAGAGTTAGTTCTACAAGCAAAGAAAGTAAATAAGACTTAGATTAAAATTTGACCCCAGATAATTTAATGAAAAAAATCACTGAAGTGAGACATTTACTTAAAAGTGTTTTAAATTTCCTTTATGAGCAAACCATCCACACACTTCCCTTAGACACTACAGGTTTTGTTTATACACCACCAGTTAAAACTCACTATATTTTTAAATATCTCTTATATCTCTCTCTCTCTCTCTCTCTCTCTCTCTCTCTCTCTCTCTCTCTCTCCTCTCCTCTCCTCTCTCTAGCTCAAAAAGAAAAAATTAGAACAAAGATCAAAGCTTGAAAACTTGGAAGACCTTGAAATAATTGTTCAACTGAAGAAAAGAAAAAAATACAAGAAGACTAAAGTTCCAGTTGTGAAGGAACCAGAACCTGAAATTATTGTAAGGACTGTTGGGTTTCCAGGACTGTACATCCACATGGGTTGCAGGGGTGAGTGCTGTGGAGGGGAGATGATGGCAAAGCCCATGACCATTCTTTTCTTTTCTTCCTTTCTCTTCAATCTCTCCCTTCTTTGTTCTCTTCAACGTCCTCCTCCACTTGTTTACCACCTTCCTGTTCCCTCTCTGTCTCCCTCTCCCTCCCTCTCTGTCTCCCTCTCCCTCCCTCTCTGTCTCCCTCTCCTTTTTCTCTCCCTCCCCTCTCTCTTCCCCCCTCCTCTTCCTCTCCCTCCTCCATCCTTACTTCCTCACTTTAGACTGAACCTGTGGATGTGCCGAGGTTTCTGAAAGCTGCGCTGGAGAACAAACTGCCAGTTGTAGAGAAATTTCTGTCCGACAAGAACAGCCCCGATGTCTGCGATGAGGTAAGGCCCATGCCTTCCTGTAGGCTGGCAAACACAGTCTGAGATGTCTTCCACTTAAAAGGTTCTCCAGCTGTTGCTACATCTGCCAGGAGCATAAAAATGAATGTATTGTTCTCCCCTACACCACAACCCCCAAATACTAGATTAGCATGATGGATTGCATGGAGTTTTTCTGTTCTCATATAATTCTGTCTGACTTGAAGACAGTTTGTCTTTAACTTCTTAGATCCTTTGGATAGACTTCCAGGCCAAAAAGTATCTTCTGGAGAAAGTTATTATTAGCAATGTCTTTCATCAGACCAAGATAGCTCAGCATTGGAAGGGGAAGGTGGAGTTCCCAGTCCAGCTCTGTCACTACCTGATGGGAACAGCTCCTGTGCATTGTCTTTGTCGCTGTTTATCTGTAAGCACAGTCTTGTTCCATTAGCCTGCTGGCTCATTAATACAAAGCCAGCTTGTCAGCAATCTCGACTTTGTATTGCTTCTCCCGTGAAGTGATGGGGCAGCTCACACCAAAGCTGAGTTTCCTCTCTTTGAAAAGTGAATTGAATGATTTTTGATATTCAATCTAGCATCCATTCTGGATGGAAGAAAACCATCTGCTGTTTTGGGCATGTTCAAACACAAAAAGGGACCTTTCAGCATTGAGATGGGGTTTGAGGTTTGAAGTCCACATCCGCCTGCCTTGGCCTTTAACACTTAGGAAGGGTCTAGGACAGGAAGCTCAGGTTGTAGCTGCCAGATAATTATTCTAATCCTGTAATTTCAGTGAGCTCTGGCACTCTGATTCATAAAACAATCCTGGCCTTTCTATCACTTAGGTCATCATAGTCCCAGCTTCATAGCTCTTAAAGGATTATACGCATTTTTATATGCACCACTATCTCTTGTTTTAATCATTGACAGTATAAACGGACCGCTCTCCACAGAGCATGCCTAGAAGGACACTTGGCAATTGTGGAGAAGTTAATGGAGGCTGGAGCCCAGATTGAATTCCGTGATATGGTAAATATATTTCTTTGCTTGGAAATGAGCCAAAATAAGCAGACCATCCGAAAAAAGCTCAGGAAAACGTACAATGAAAACTGGCCCAATTGGATTGAAAATTGATCTGAGAAAACTAGTCAAAAGCTCATTTCTCCATACAAAGGGAAGTTGGGCGATGAGACTAGGTCATGGGGAAGCATTTTCCAGACAGCCTGAAAAGGAGAGGAGTGTTGCAGAGAAGAGAAGGAAGTGAAAGTTGTTGGGCAGAATTCAGTAACCTCACCAGAGAGTTTGGGTCATTATCAAGTCAGTAGCATTCCTGGCCTTTCAACACCACACTCCTTCATCAGACAGCACAGCCCACTCCTGGCCCCTCGGCTGCCAGCAACCCACGAGAATTTCCTAGCTGCAACTTTATATGATGGATGCCAATTGCCACTGATGAGATTTGGAGTCAGGCTGCATGCTAAATGAATCAGGTCTCAGGAAAGTGGCTGCTCTTCAGACCCTAACAATCAGCCGCTGTGATTTCCATAAAGACCACTATACAATATATTTTATACCCTGAAGATTGAACTGGAAAATGCTTCATTTATTTATATGCAGCTCAATTTGGCATTATGGTAAAATGGAAAAGGAATAAAAAAAATTCCAAAGAACCTAACCTGAATTTAATCAAAGGACAAAATACTGAAAAAAAATTTAAGAAACTTATTATAATAAAGTGATGCCCAAACCCAAATTTGGAATCTGGAAGTCCAGAGATGCACCAAACAAAGCAGAGAGGTGGCAATCTCTTCAAAGTACAGTGCAGTAACCACAGTGATTGACAGCTGAGGTCCCTAGGCTGTTCGAGTGCAAATACAGCACAGAGCCAGCAGAAAGACAGAGAAAGACAGGGAGGTGGGATGAGGGGTTAGATCCAGGTTAAGATATTCTAAAATGTAACCAGATATATTAAAAGCTTCCTAACTACAAATCCAGCCACTCACTCAGTTTAGCTGGGCTTTTTTTTTAGCAAGAAACTCAGAAGTGGCTCTCAACACCAAAACCACCAAGAACTATCAGTTGTCCATATTCTCTGGGCCTTTAAAACCAAAGACCAACCCCCAGCCCCAGCAAGATTCTCTTTCACACTGTCTTGTCTTGTGTTTTTTTTTGTTTTGTTTTGTTTTGTTTTTTTTTTTTTCTTTCCCAAACAGCTTGAATCCACAGCCATCCACTGGGCATGTCGTGGAGGAAACCTGGATGTCCTGAAACTGTTGTTGAACAAAGGGGCCAAAATCAGTGCCCGAGACAAGGTATTTCCTTGCCCTTCCTTAGGCTTCTGCTCCCTGCCTGCCCACGGAGGTCCTCTGTCAGTCGTTATTCTATGGACACCTCAAGCCGCACACACCCCATTTGCACGTGCCTTGAGGCCTCGGCAGTCTGTTCTCACCCTTTCCCGTTTTCTAATGTTTTAGCTGCTCAGCACAGCGCTGCACGTGGCGGTGAGGACTGGTCACTACGAGTGTGCAGAGCATCTCATCGCCTGTGAGGCGGATCTCAATGCCAAGGACAGAGTGAGTAGCTGACAGGGCTGAGTCACCGTAAGCTTATTTGAAATCATTCAGGCAAGCTGGGGCACCCCAGCAGGACCCACTTCCTGGCTTCACACTGACTGCATCTGCTTATCCTGCTTCTAGGAAGGAGATACCCCACTGCACGACGCTGTGAGGCTGAATCGCTATAAGATGATTCGGCTCTTAATGACCTTCGGGGCAGACCTCAACACCAAGAACTGTGTAAGTAGTCAAAGCCAGGGTACCACTGATACTTTCAAATTCTCAGATATTTGAAAGTATTATTCCCATGGTAGTACATTTTGAGATACACTGATAGTTCCAATGTGTCTATTTCCGTAAGGACAGGGTGAGAGTTGGCAAGGACTCAGGTCACAGAGTCAGACATAGGGAAACTATAACTTTGGCTCTGACCTTGGATCTCAATAGTTCTTTGAAAGATTGGTCTTGAATAAAGGATGACCAAAATTGTCACCTTTAAAATATACATTGTGGGGCTGGAGAGATGGCTCAGTGGTTAAGAACATGAGCTGCTTTTCCAGAGGACCTGAGTTCAATTCTCAGCAACCACAAAGTTTCACAACCAACTATAATGGATCCAATGCCCTCTTCTGGCTTGCAGGCATGCATACAGACATAGCATTCATATACGTAAAGTGCATAAATAAACAAATCTTAAAAACATAAGAACCACATTGGGTAATTCCAATCTGCCTTAGTCATTCCTGGCTGAAGAGAGCCTAGAGCAGGAATGAATGAATACACCCACCTTTCTCAAAATAGCTACAAATTACACAGAGACTGAAACTAATCAATATCCAATTTGGGGAATTCCAAATATTCCTTCTTTTTTTACAACGGGGTAAAATGTTACCATTTTTCCAGGGCCACCATGCCTTTCTGATTCTCCACTTTATATGCATGTGTCTTGAAATAATTTCCCTACATTAGGTCCCAAGAATTCCTACATAAGTACATGTGTACATGGGGAAATGTAAGCAACGTACCCTCATGGCTACAATCTCCAGACAAGTATCATCTACCATAGCTTAAAGAAGATCTGCAGGAGGAATAGTGATAAATCACCAAAGAAATGTCCTTGAGAGTTGGAGAATCGTTACAAGAGAGGAAAGGTCTTCTTGAGGCAAATGACCACCACCTCCTCTTCTTGTGTTACTGTGAGCCTGAAGGGATAATTAAAAAGGAAGCCCAGTGTGCCCCATATCCCAGCACATGGAAGAGGATCTCAGGCTCAAGGCTAGCTTGAGCCACCCCGAGTGGGAGCCTGACTTGGTGACAAGAAGAAAGAATGGTGATTAGTGGTCAGATGGAGCCTGCTTGGCTTGAGAAATGTGAGCAGTAGGGTTCCCTGTGCTAGGAACTGGGATTGGTGTCACCCGATAGTTTCTCTCTTTAAAAATGAGCCAAAAGTACATGCAAGGCAATCTTCAAAGACACAGAAGATAAGGATTTGCCTACTTATTTTTACAAGCCATGAAAGACGACAAGCAGAAATGAATGGCATGCATATAGTCACTAGGGCCATGTAGATCACATAAATGACATCAGTGAGTGGCTACTAGGGTCTGTGCGGGTTATTTGATGGTGGCTCTTCTCCAATCCAGTTCCTCGAGGTACTGTGGAATCAGAAGTCTTTCCTGATTTTTGCTTTTGCAAAAGTCATAAATTCACATAGAAAATCTCTTGATTCACCTCCAACCCCAACCTGAGCAAAACCAAGTCTCTGAATGATTAGCGTATCAAAGCTGCCAGTCTACAACCTCTGGAATCAAGAGCACTTCTGAGCTGAATACAGAGAGTAACACTTAGGACTTCTCACATCTAAAGAGAATTAAGAAGTGCTGTGTTTTAATATGTGTAAATCTCTTGAGACACGTGCATAAGGGAATGAAAAAATATTTATTTACCTGTCACTGACACCAATTTCATTTTGATGAGTACATTTTTTTGAGAAGCCTTGGTGAAAATTCTGAGTAGTTGTGAAGAACCTAGAGAGCAGTCAGCAGCCTGGCAGCAACTGGCTGGATATCTATGGCTTGGTGGCAGTGTACTTACCACCAGGAGGCACTGAATAATGCTCCTCAGAGCCCTTCAGCAAGGTCCTAGAAATACCTACATACATGCTTTAACTTCACAATGATTTGAGGATCTTTGTTACTTTAGTGCCTAAGGACAGGATTTTTTTTTTTCCAATACCTGGGATAGTTCTGTGATTGGTAGAAGGAGAAGCCAAAAAACAAAACAAAACAAACATCCCCAAAACAAATGAACAAAACAAAAACAAAATAACAAAACAACCAGAAACCCCAGCATGACAGAATGGTTTGAACAAACAGTAGCTCCCTCCTAGTAAAAGCATAAAAGCATGTACTTTGATAACATACCTCATCAACATAGGCACCTCCCACCTAGAACTCAAATTTCCTCTTTTCTGTGTAGGCTGGGAAGACCCCCATGGACCTGGTACTGCACTGGCAGAATGGAACCAAAGCAATATTCGACAGCCTGAAAGAGAATGGCTACAAAACCTCTCGCATAGCTACATTCTAAGGAAGGAGACTATCTGCAGGAGCTGTTCACAGGCATTTCCAAAGCACTGCTTAACAGAAGAGCAAGCAGCTATATCCAGCTTTTGTCTGCCAGAGGGTAGGGAGAAAGACTTACAGACGCTGCAAGAAAGCGCTGGGTTATAGGTGTCAAACTCTCCTTCAGTGTTGCTCACTATTGTATTTATTCCTATTTATTTATTTATTTATTTCCTAACATTGATATTCAGGCTTTCACGAGCATTTTTGGGGGGAGTAAAACTTAATCTGTATGCAGCATTCAGCGTCCTCCCATAGATCTTAAACCTTGTGGGTGAATGGCGTCTAATTGCACACTTTTGACCTGGGTCGTATAGAAACTATTCAAGGTAGTTTGAAATGTCCAGGGTGATCATTGCAGCTCTCTTCTGAATTCTTACGGCTGATAACTGCATGAAGCAACAGAAGGCGTGTGGTGATGGGGGAAAGAACGGAAGCAATTCTGTGGGACAGACACCGAAGCCCTCCTTGCACCCATGGGTTTGGTTTGATTGGTTACCAAGTCACAGGATGTCCCAAGGTGGAGAGAGTTCCATGAGTGTAAATGCAGGAGGTGGAGGAGGTGGGGAGGGAGTGGGCAGAAATCAAAGGCAGAAGGAAAGACACTGTAAATGTGTAAATGTATATTGTGCTGTATGTATATTTTATATTCATAATAAATGCAAACAAATTCTAGACCATGTTTTAAGTTCTTTGTCAGTGCAACAGTGGGAATTTCTCATGTAAGAAGAGTCGTTTAGGAAGATGCCTATTTATCAGTGTTTAACAGCTTTTTCAGATTAGAAATGTCTAGGGATTTGGGAAGATGGCTCAGTGGTTAATAGCCCTTGCTGGTTTTGCAGAGGACCTGAGTTCAGTTCCCAGCACCTCATGATGGCTCACAGCCGTCCACAAAGCCGGTCCCCGGGCATCCGATGCTCTCTTCAGACTTCCACAGGCACCAGGCATGCACATGGTGCACGTACATGCACGAATCCAAACACTCATATACATTAACATAAAAATTAAAAACAATAAAAAATGAGGAAGGAGGAGGGGACGGAAAACAAAAGAAATGACCCGTAGAAACCAGTCTTAGTACTTACTGTGCTGATGGGTCACCCAGGTATCTTGATAAACTGAAGAATTGCCCTCAGCTGGTCTCGGGTGGGGCCTGTGAATCTGCATTTCTTACCACCTGCTGCCTTCTCCGGTAGGAAGCAGAGAACTACGATTAGAGAGAGAGACAGAGAGACAGACAGAGACATACAGAGAGACAGAGACAGAGACAGAGACAGAGAAGCCTTCATTCCAATGGTGTGGAAAAAGAGACCCCTGGTGGGAAGAATGGTTACTGCAGGTTAAACAAGCACTTCCTGACTTCTCATCAGGGATTGACTAACAAATTAGGGGCTTATCCGTCGTTGTATTGTGGACAGGCGCTGACTGGGTCAAAGGCCTTCTATGAGACAACATTTTGGGTCAATGGCTTTTGACCTCCAAAAGGAAAAGTTTTGTTGGCAAATGCTGAGTGAGGCACTAAAGACCTTTGGTGAGAAAAACCGATTGTCCTGGCCCCACAGGGACAGACACCTACTGAAGAAATAAGTAGAAATAAATAGTATCAGTCCATTTTGGGTCCAATGAAGGGGAACTCTAGAGTGCTCTCTCAGTGTCTAAAGCGTAGAGGTCCATATGTGGTGTAGACCGGGGTTTTAGGACTTCTTGGAGGTGTCAAGCTTGAGGGAGATTCTGAAGGATGAATTCAAGCCTAGAGTTCTGCAGGCAGCAGGAGAGAGTGGAGAAACTCAGGGGTGTGGGCAACCTTTGGAACTCGGGACATACCATGCCTGAGGAAGACTCATGTCAAACCCCAGCACTGGGCTCCCCTGAAACTCACACCAAGTAGGACTGCATATATCAACCTCTTACACGCCTCTACCATTTTGTGAGGGAGTACAGTCACATTCTGTGACCAAGATGTCTTCTAGTCCTTCAGCTATAGGCGCACATGGAGTTGTGAGGATGTTTTGAAATGCTATTGGCTTCTTCTGTCTTCTGACAACCCACAAAGCTCCCCTCTCACATGGAGAACCAAGTGGCAGATTCATTCTCTCAGTTCTTTCCTAATCGCTTGTTACCCTTGCCTTCCCCATAGCATCCTGGGTCACCTGGTCAGAACTCTAAGGCAGTGGTTCTTAACCTTCCCAATGCTTCAACCCTTTAACACAGTTCATGTTGTGCTGACTCCAACCATAAAAATTATTTTCATTGCTGCTTCATAACTGTAATTCTGCTACTGTTATGAATAATAATGTAAACATCCATGTTTTCTGATGATTATCAATGACCCCCATGAAAGGGTCCAGAGTGATCTTGACCTACAGGTTGAGAATGAGTGATCTAAGCTATGGGATCCAGATCGTGTTTCTCTTGCTCATGTTGACATTTGACTGGTAGTACTTGGATATGTTAGTCTGTGACCAAAGTGTCTTATCTGGGCTTCTTTGAGCCCAAGAGCTGGGGGGTTAAAAGGAGAAGAGAGTTCAGAGTAAGGTTCGCATTGCCACATTGAAACATTTGTACTAATGAAGAAATAGCAGGCAGAAGAGACAGTGTAGAAGGAAAGCATGTAGATGGGGACCAGCTCTGGGCAGTGGGAGAGACATTGAAGGGGGAATTCCGTTTCTATCACAAGACTTTAGAAGCTCCTGTCTACCCCCTGAACCGGCTCTTGTTTATGGTCTTTTGTCTTATGTTCCCTTTCTCCCTGAAGGCACAATGCAACAGCCGATGGAGAGTTCTGGAAGTTGTTCCTCACTTCATTTTCACTCAGCCCTAAGTGACCAAGTCTTATCAATCATGCTGACATCTTATGAGAGTCTGCCCTGCCACCGGTGGCCTCCAGTCTAGGCAAGGCCTGCAAGATCAGGGTTATTCAATCATCCCTCCTGCCTCCTGGCCTCCAGGTTTGCTTACTACTCTTTTTAAAAAAGATTTATTTATTGACGAGTATGTGTGTGTGTGTGGTGTACTTGTTACCATGCATGTGCCAAAGCCCACAGAAGCCAGAAGAGGCTGTGGGATCCCCTGCAACTGGAGTTACAAGATGTTTGAGCCACTCAAAGTGGGTGTTGGGGACTGAACCCAGGGTCTCCTGGAAGTGAAGCAGAGACCCTCTCCAGCCCTATGCTCTATTCTGTTGTTTTAATTGCAGCCAGAAGTTTCCTAAAATGCAGATGTGATCCAATTACTCTCCTCTTTCAAACCTTTCAGCGGTGTTCCATTTCTCCCTGGATCAAATGCAAACTCTTTAAAATTTGGCTGCTGCTAGTCTTTATTATTTTCACTACTGGGGTTTAAACCCAGGGTCTCATGCACACAGGCAAATGCCCCAAGCCTGAGCTGTAAAGCCCCACCCTATCCCTGCCCACAGTTTTGGTTTCTTTTGTTGCTTTCTTTTTGAGGCAAGATCTCCCTAAATTGTACAGGATGGCCTTGAACTGTAGTTTAGGCAATCCTTGAATTTGTGACCCTCTCCCCCTGGTCTCCGGAGTAGCTGGGATTATAGACCTGTGCCTCCAGACAGCTTCCAGGGTATAAGGAATGTATAGGTTTGTGGAGCCTAGTGGACAAATCCTAATTTGCATTAAGTGGCCTGGTCCTATCATTGTGGTTGTAGGGCCCTATAGCAGAGCTCCTAGCCAAGTCTTCATTACCATGTGCCGTAGGGGAGGCTTATAGCAGGAATCTGTGCCAAGGGTCAAGCTAAAGATAAACCAGACATCTGGCTTTGAACACATGATCTGCCTGCCTCCACCTCTTGTAGCAAATCCTACTGGTGTGCACCACCATTATCTAAACTGAATTTTCAACAGAAGAAACTCAAATGGCTGAAAAACACTTAAAGAAATGCTCAACATCCTTAGTCATCAGGGAAATGAAAATCAGATCTACTTTAGATTTCATCTTACACCCATCAGAATAGCTAAGATCAACAAAACAACTGGCAGCTCGTACCAGAGAGGATGTGGAGTAAGAGAAACCCTCCATTTCTGGTGGGAATGCAAACTTGCACTGCCACTATGGAAACAGTGTGGCAGGCAGTTCCTCAGGAAGATGGGAATTGATCTACCTCAAAATCCAGCTACACCACTTTTGGGCTTATCCCCAAAGTATGCATCATCATACTTGCTTAATAATGTTCACTGCTGGCCTATTCACAATAGTCAAAAATTGGAAACAATCTAGATGTTCCTCAGCAGAGGAATGGGTAGAGAAAATGGTACGTTCACACAAGGGAATATTACTCAGCTGTTAAAAAGAAATGAAATCAGAAATTTACAGGTTAATTGGGTAGAACTAGAAAAAAAAATCATCCCGAGGTAGCCCAAACCCAGAAAAACAAATATGACATGTATTTGCTTATTTTTGGATATTAGCTATTAAATAAATGATAATCAAGCTATAATCTGTAGAACCACAGATTAGGTATAGAGTCAGGGACTTGGGGGTGGTGCAGATAAATCCGCCCCAGAAAAGGGGAAGAGAATAATTATAGTTATGGATGCGATGGGGTAGAATGGGAAGATGAAGTAGGGACTGGAAGGGAAGGGGGGGACAAGGGAGGGGTATAGGGCAAGACAGATACAATTAAGGGCCATTTAAGGGGTAGTATGGAAACTGAATGCAGTGGAAGCTTTCTGATATACATATACAAAGATGACTTGAATGAAATCACCAAATAATGAAGGAGACAGAGCCCCAACTGGCCATCTCTTGTCACCAAATGAAGCTTCCAACATCAGGACTGAGTTACTTCTACTCAAGCTGTTGGCCAAAGGGGTCCCATAGGAATCCTCAAACAGCCTAGGCTATTGCCAAGACTACAGGTTGCTCTCCACAAACTGATAGCAAGGCCTCATTGCTGAAGACATCATTGAACATGAAGAAGCCAAGATGGTGCCTACATAAATCTTTTACCCCTACATGAAAGTGTCTTTGATACAGGAAGGTACTTTGCATGCTATCAAAGGAGAAAACGGCCACAAACCCTTTGTTCTACAATGGTGTCCTGCATTCAGGAGATGCTATGCTAACGGAGGCACAAAGCTTGTGGAGTAACCAATATCTGATGTGACTGAAGACCCATGCTATGAAATGGAACCTGCTGCTTTGGTGACCAAAAATCTGAGAATAGATATCCCAGGTACCTTGGGTGAAACCAAATACTACTTTTTTCTTTTAATGGCAATAAAATGACTCCTAATGATATTCTGCTATATTAGGACCATTACCTTGCTCAACCA